ATTATTATTATTATTATTATTATTATTATTATTATTATTATTATTATTATTATTATCATGATCATTATTATTAGAAATGCTACTGCTTCCTTGTAGTCGTTAATTAGGTTATTTTATGGCTTAGTACCACCTGATCCGGGTTGCAAAAATCCTAGCAACAGAGAAGAGGCAGAAAATCATCTTCAACCAGTTGATGTCACCTGTAGTTCAGTGAAAGGCCTCCAGGTTCAGCGCGAGGGTGGGGTGGCAATAAAATGAAGACTAAATAGAAACAAGACCCAACAAATAGCAATAATAGATAGCGGTCAAGAAATGAGCTTCAGAACAAAGACTTGATGGAGTAAATATGGAGGACTTGGGAAATAGGCAGGTAATCCTCAATTTAGGACAACTGGGGCCAACATTTCAACAGCAGAGGAAGAAGTATCAACAGATGAACTGCTTTTTTAATTTCATTTTTATAAATTAGTCTTTGACTTACAACCAAAATTTCTGTTGCTAAGCGAGACAGTGCTTAAGTGAATTTTGCCTCATTTTACAACCTTTCTTGCCAGAGTTGTTAAGTGAGTCGCTGTTAAGTTAATCAATCAGAGAATACTTTTACTGTTGTTTGGTAAGAAGACATCCATCCACAACTTTTAAATTATATTAAAAATCACTGACCTACCGTATGTTTCCACATCTTTAAAGACATGTCAGTTACCCTGCTTGTTAACTTGCCTCTTTATGTCTGTGTCAGAAAAGCAAACAAAGTAATTGTTTCATTCAAAAACTGCATTTTTTTTTTACAAAGCAGTTTTGAGTAGTTCAAAAATCTGATTTAAACCATGTAAAGTGTATTCATTTTTATCCCCCTTGTTTCCTGTGCCTTAACCTTTGAGCTGGCCTGAGGCTGCCTTTTTCTGCTTTCATGTTTATTAATATTTAAAGAGCTTATCAAATGGCTAAGGAACATAGTTCTCGCCACAGGCTTATAGTACTCTGAAATGGGGCTGTGTGGTTACAGGAACAAAAAATGTGTGCTGTCCTATGATATCTTAATTTAGTCCAGAGTGAGGGCAAACAATGGCTTTTTGAATGTTATAACTACAAATCCCAGCATCCATTGTTGTTCTCCATGGTGGCTATGGCTGCTATGAAATTGAAAGAAGGTATCTGGAAAGCACTGCATCCAAAAAGGAGACTTTTTCTATTTAAGTTGATAAAGCAATAATGATGTTGATCCCGACGTGTTCTGAGACTTTGAAGGAATGGGGGTGAGGTCATGCTTTATTGTGCATATGTGTGAATCGTTATGGGAATAATTTTCTTTTCTGTTTTTAGCCATCCAATCCCGAAAAAGAAACAGAGAGGGACATCTTCCTGTATCGTGCGTACATTGCACAGGTAGGCCAAACTTATCAAATGATTTGAGAAACTGCAAAAATGGCAGCTGCCAGGTTTACCTACTGTAGTCTTCTATACATGTGCCTTGAACTGAAATGGGCAGTTTTGGGTGTTGTTTTTTTCCATTCAGTTTCAAACAGAATTTAACTACCTCAAGATAATTGTGATTAATAGCAACAGAACCTTAAATCCTATATTTTGATGATAGCAGCCTCCTTTGATTACTAGCTATTGATCTAGATTCTAGGTGCTTCCTCCAAACTGGAGAATCTGTTATTCTCTGGCTGCAGTTTCCATTGACCCCATGAAACTTGCTCAGTCTATTTTACAGAGCCATTTAAACTAGGTTAGATGTCCACAGCGTACGTTAATGAAGTCAGGATGTTGAGGCAAAGATTCTATTGTACCATCATGGCTACCATCTTGACTTTTTTTTTACCATACCTGGCAGATGGTCCTAGAACAGTGATGGCGAACCTATGACACGCGTGTCAGTGCTGACACGCGTAGCCATTTGGG